ATTCAAGCTGGAAATCATCAAGTCAGAAACTGTCCCATTAGGTTAATTATCTCAGTGCATGCGTCGATCATTACTTCAGGGTTATCAATGATTGACTGTCCTTCCTAATACTCTCATAAAACAATATATCTATGGGGAATGAATACACAGCCATCACAATGCAACTGCCAATTCAAAAGTTTTAACCATTCCAAATGCACAGAAATAGCAACTCAATTGAAATAGAGAAGAGATTAATATAACTAACATATATCAAGAAAAGTTAAGGAGATTGTCAATCAATACAAACGAACATCCGTTCAGCAGAGACAAGAAACATCACTCTGATGAAAAGGTATTTTCTGTTATTTGAAGAAGGGACATGGAATTAAACGGCAAAAAGAGAACAAACCACGATAAAGCAAGTTGAGTACAGTTCTATGAAAGATATAGTAGCTTAGTGAAGTTCGAAATAAGCCGAAAATTTTCAGAGTATATTAGTAACGGTAATCACTTGCATAATTATTGAAACGTTGGACTAGAATAACACTGAGACTTTTGCCTAACCGGAACTTCACTTTAGAGTGCAAAACCAGTCCCAAGATTTAGATCTTAATCTGCAAATACCCTTTCATTATCTTCTAAATATGAAAAATGATTAAGATAGATTTCATGCGCTACAGCAAGAAAAGTCCATCCAAAGCCACATCTCAGAGGTAAGGTGGAGATCATCAAACAAGTGACTGCTTTTCAGGAAACTAAAAAAGAAATTATTAACAAACCATTTAGTTAAATTATACACAATTGCGTGTCTTCTTATGATATATGACTGGTTTCAACATAGAACCAAGCACAAAAGTGCAACATTTCGAGTTGTTACACTGTGAAGCACAAAAGAGATTCGGAAGAAGGATAATAAGCATAAATATGAGGGAGGAAGAATAGTAACAGGGTATTTTTGGATATAACAACGATTTCAAGCATTATCACCAACTGGTTCTCAGTATCCCGAGGACTTCCCCCCGTAGCGTAAACCTATTCAGCCTGGTAGTCAAAACAATGACTAAACCTACAATAACGCTATGCAATTAAACATTAATTTTATTTTTCTCTAATTTTATTTTATTATTTTTTTTTCGAAGCAAGAAAAATGTCACTGATAATTATAACACAAATAATAACAGTAGTGAAATATGCAATTAGGCATATAAGAATATATTGAAATAAACGAAAGGAAGATAAGAGTCATCAGTATAATAATAATAATAAACGTGAACATTGAAGACGACAATGTGATACAATAAAAATCACATCATTTCATCAGTGTAGGAAATTTTCTCTCGCACCCACACACACAGAGATAGAGACAAACATAGCTTAGGCGCCGTATATAATTTACTTGACGTCTTTGAGAAATGAAGATTCTTTTTCCTTTTTTCATGTTGTGAGAGACAGACGAAAAATGAAGATTGAGGCGAATGGACAAAAAATGTAGTTGACGTGTGTTTATGTATATATGCATATCAATGGTAGCGGCGAGGGGCGGGAGGAGGCGGAAGAGAAAGAAAAGAGGATTAGAAGGAATAAGTACAGTAGGATAGGAAATATATATATATATATGTATATATATATATAATTGAAGAGACAGTTAACTGATAGCAATTTCAACAGCAGTTGTGAGGATAATGGGGGATAACATAACACAATAACAGGTTTATTTGACAAAAACAAAAGACAGTAATAAGAAAGCCAAATCCCAGTAGTAGATAGGATATTTTTAACATTAAAATTGGAGCACAAATTCTATTCAACAGATAATGTGTTATACAGATGAAGAAGTAACTAGACCTCATTATTGCATAATGCATATATATCTATATATACAGTTAGAAATAAAGAAAAGATAAAACAAAACAAAACGCAAACATGGAACGAAAACACGCTAAAAACAACCTGAAGAGAATATCCTGAAGAGAATAGACAGGAAAACACAAAAGCAGAACTGACACACGTACACACACATTTATCTGTTGGAGTACGATAAAAGTGTTCAACAGAAGCCCAGTACAACTGGTGTTTCATTTCTCACTCTCTCTCTGTATATATATCTATGAGTATATTCCTGTCAATAATGAAAACCTTGTGTTTAACAGGTTAGCAGAAAATATTCATATTTTGCGATGTTAAAGTGGGAACGGGCAAAAAGTGGAGAGATAGAAGGTAATAGTAACAACAGAACATCGGCTAATTCAAAACAAACAACAGCAGTAACTTAAAATAAGAATAATGATAGTAATAATCGCATCAGAAAGATACCACCACACATAGGATAGAGAACAGAAAGAGAGAGAGAGACAAAAACAAAAGAAACCACACATTTCAACAGAGATGTAGAGATTAATTATACTTAATTATAATAATATAGATGAAAGACAAGAGTAAAAAGAAAGTAGGAAAGTGAGAATTTCCTGTCCTTCCTTTTTTTTCCATTCACAGTATCGCTATTAACATGACACTAGTGATCACACACGCACACACAAACACACACACCGAAAGTCAAATATGAAGACTGTTGCAATGCAAGTCACAAAAAGGTTTAAGAAGGGATTAAAAGAGACAACGACGTATGTGTCTTTAGGATGATTATCCTTCTGTCTTTTTCTCTGATTTCTGTCACTTCTACTATTCAATAGAGAAAGATGAGGTAAAACAAGATGATGGGGTTAGTCAACAATACGCATATATATACTACTGTCTTATAATGCAAAAAGTGAATAAGACAAATGATTGAGGAATGTGAAGGAAAGAGCAAACAACTTGTTGTTGCAGCATTCGCATGCATATTTGTATGAGTATATTTAGAACAATATCATCATTAATAATAATAATAAGAAGAAGCATAGTATTACTAAAACAAATGAAGAAGACGACAAAACATTGAAAATAAGACCCAAAAATAAACAGCTATTCCAACTGATAGATACCCCACTATTTTTCAAAATATATTCTCATGTACACTGTGCGCAGATCATTATCACTGAAATAATACCAATACGAATAACAGTAATAATAATAATAGTAGTATTAGTAATAATAATTACTATCACTGTTTTTATAGCTATTGTTGAATAAAAGCAAATCATAACGAGCATCACTGATAATAATAAGATAATAAATGAGAAGTTGAGTGCAATAAGTCAATGCTGAAATTCACACTGAATCGTATATGAGCAGCTGCAAGAAACCATACACCACGATGCACAATTATTATATATTAGTATTATTTAAGGAAGAAAAAAAAGTGAAGAGGACAGAGAATGAGAAAGAAGGAAAAATAACAGGGAGTACCGGAAGCAACAGAAAGATACTACAGTGATAATATTCATATTGCTAATGCTAAATAATAATTAGTTTTCATAAGTAAATATGTATAATATTAGAAGAGACGAGGAATAAGGGGAGTAGTAACAAAGATATGGAATGTCTAAAAAATAAGAAAAGAAAGACACGGCAAGAGATTCCGACTGCAGTGTGTGTGTGGAGGGGGGAGTGAAACGAAATTAACTAAGAATCAAAAATTTAGTATCATATTGACCTATATCATAATAATAATATTATTATATATAGATAAGGGTGAGAAGAATGTATCCTTTTTTTCATTGTATGGGTGTATATGTACAAATAATAACAATAACAGGAAGAAATGGTGATGTAATGCTCATGTGTTGCTGTTAAATATTTATTTATGTATGTGTATATGTATCGCATGAATAAGGAAATAACGAGAGACAGAGAAAAAGTGGAACATTTGCTGAAAGTAACACATGATAACACAACAAACGTGGTATATCCGTATCCAAACGAACAATTTGTTCCACTTTCACACAATATAATAAAGTAGAACTGATAATTGATGCTTTATTAATATCGACGGGTATCTACAGTAAAATAAAATGAAAAAAAACAACAGAATTGGTACAGATATACACAAACGGGTTCACACACACACACAAACACGCAAACAAATAAACAGGGTGAACACACAAGTATATATACACAAATAAGGTTAGAGCTGAATAAAGCCACACATGAAAGCGTATAAATACACTAATACATATGTGTGTGGTTAAGTGAGAAACACATTTATCTATCCATGGTATGAAAGCGGTGAGATAATAGTTTTTAGCGAATTCTAAACAGAAATGCAATAACCATTGCCATATTTGTTCTATATCAGAGGATCGATTATCTATATTCACTAGTTGATTCATACAATAATAAATAAATTCAGCCTAACATCAAAAGTTGGCATGAATTCATTATTGTAAATATATATACGAGATAGCCTGTAGATGATATTTTGGTTAACCTACATTGGCAACATCTGTCTTATGCCTGCCTATGTAGCGTATTTTGCCGCATAATTCACACTTCTGTTACCCTAATCATTTCATCTACGCTGAATCGCATTCCACGACTATAAGACAAGACACTAAGCGTATAACAGTGTGATGATCAATCAAGCCCCTGGTGTCTCTGGACTGAAACATATGTTCGCGCCTAGGTTTGGTATTAAGCCAGAGCGATAACTGTATAAAAATATGCTCTGGATTTCGGGATGTAGGAGTCGGCATGATATCTAAATTGTGGTATGAACGTGAGGATACTGTATCGTTGTTTGTAGACAACTTAATGTTTTGTCGGGGAGATATGTAGTAAGTGGTCAAGCAGTTATCTGACACCACGAGGCATTGAGTCCGACTACTGCCCGATGTAATCAATCCACAAACATGCATGTTTGAGTGAGTGTTTTGAGTAAAACAAAAAAAAAAAACTAAAGTGTATGTTTACATAGCAAACAGCTTTGCTTAAAGCTATTATTAAACAGTTAAGATGAGATAAATGCGGACTAGCTTGCACAGCAAGTAAGGAAAATGCTTATGTTTTTTTTTTTTAAAAAAAACCTTCTAGGCAGTTATGTCAGTTATAAATATAATGGTAGTATTAAAAAAACACAATGATGACAGTGAAAACAAAATCCAAATAGTTTGTATGAACGAAATCTATGAAATAGCAAAACAAACAGAGTTATCCAACCAGCCAAACAAGAGAGATGTTAGAGGCTATTCAGCAAAAAAATAAAAAAAAGAATTCAACGACCGAAGGTATCCAGCATAATTTAAAACAAATGGATTATTAAAACTGTCATACTTCGTGATGACAAAACAAACAGAAATGAGAAACGAGTTATTTCAGTGAGCTTAACTTTTTACCCAAAAGTATACTAGGATACGATACCTTTAGGCGATAACAAACACGACAGCAGGAAATAAATCTAGCGAATACAAACAGACAACGCACACCGGTGAAGTGAAAAAAAAAGTATGACTGTCACCAGGCAAAAAAGCTAAATGAGCATTATTTCCCTACGGCTCACCGAGTATTATATTATTAATGGCGCACTCAGGGAACAAGAAGACATAAGTTTGCATCGACACATATTTCTTCTAATCTTTTCCATTCATTACACACACACACGGACACATACAAAATGTCATAGGATTCATCATAGACTATTTACACATTATTTATAGATTTCATTTTATTTGCAGATTTATATTGATTTCGAAGTTGACGTTTCTTTAAGAATGATTCACTAAGCACAGGTATTGGAGGCATACTTCTAGCTGATTTTGTAGAAGAGGGACTTGTACATCTTTTGTCAATAATTTGACGACGACTATAAGGATGATGACTAGAAGACCAACTAGCAATTTTAGATGACATTCCATAAGGATCATAGAGTGGTGAGGAAAGAGTTGATGAGGCATCATTCATAAATCTTTCTAATGAAGCATAATCAATTTTACCAATACGATTAGGTCGTTTCTTAATGCCTTGTAAGCTTGAATCATTATTGTTATTATTATTATTATTAATAGTGGTTGATGTTGCTGTTACCTGAGAATTATCATTATCAACCAGTGGATTTAAAGGTGAATTACCAGATGAATCACTTGTAATCTTTGTTGTAATATTATTTTCGCTAGTAGCATTTGTTTGAAGTTGTGACGACTTAATCTTTTGAGATAAATGATACTCATCATTATATGAGGTAGATTCAGTACGTAAAATGTCACGAATATCACTACTTCTGCTTCTATGAATATGAGAATTATTATCACTTGAACTTGAAGTACTAAAACTAATTTGACTCGGTGTACGTTCTAGATCAGCTGCCAACATATCGTATAAATGAGGAAAACGTTGATTATTAGCAATATGATTGTTGATGTTTGAATATATCACAGTATTTGATCTATACCCTGATTGTGGTCTGAATCTTCTACTGTAATAATTTCCTGAGACCGATCCTTGACCAATGTCAGACGACACGGTACCGATGGAGGAGTCTGGAGTGGAGGCCCCTCGATTGAGTTCGCCCGTACTACGGTACCTGTTCGACATTTTGCAGGCTGACAAGTAGTTGGAATAGGATCCCATTTTACTTCTAATCGCATAAGACTGTTTCGATGGTGAACTAGGATACGACTCTTTTCTGTTGTAGGTGCCGTTATAACTTTGCGCTTCGGATGATACCCGCATAGGGTATTTCGGAATGCTGACATCATAAGACGATGCATGGTAGAGGAGCGTTTGAGACGAACTGTTCCAGTCTGATCTATACAAATGTGAAACATCTTGGAGTAATTTACAATGATTTAACGTAAGTGCATACAGGTGAAATGTCGTTCAAGTGTGGAAAGGAATTCCATAAAAATAATGATTAGGTAAGAAACGTTAATACCACACACACACACACACGCCGTCAAAAATAGCATTAAATGAAGCAATATAAAGCCACACAGAAATGAAGATGAGTAAACAAACCATGTATATGAAACAGAAAAATAAAGAGATCATTACATTGAATTTGTGATGTTCACATAACAAAATCAATAAACGTCAACTCTATCATTATCATCATCAAAAAAATTAAACCAGAAGTACAACCTTAGGTGACATGCGAATTTGATAAGTTTAATAAAAAACTTGAGTGACGTAAATTCGTAGTCCACTAGATATCAAATTGTTAAAAGAGGTCAATTGAGTTAAATATGGTACTAACTTTGTAAGCTACAAGGCCATTCTATCATATTTAAAATAGCTACCTTCAGTGTTTCATTCTCAAAACTATAAAACCTTAATAAATCGAATCATACACTCCTGAATCTATAATTCCGCAGAGATACATTAATGAAAATATAAACTGATTGCTCAACACACTTCCTGAATAAGCTTTTAATACAGCTTAATTCCAAATTACTTTTTTTTCGACACAATTAATAACTCGACTATATACAGGGGGATATTTTGTCACTGTCGGTTTCAAAACGACCTGTCTAAAAGTCTACATGCCTCTATAGAGTGAGATATGTTGGCATCACATAGCACTCCGTTTTAAACACATCATTCTACTTTATGCTCAGGGTTTTCAGATGACCATTTGTAGTTTGTTGCTGTCTTCATCAAAAAAAAAACGACTGACTATGTGCTCTCTTCAAAGAGCTCTCTCCCTTTGGTATTCAACCAGAGTAACATTCATCAGAAAGGTCGTAACTAAATTAAATAAGAACAGTAAAACTGGATATTCCTCTGTCAGACATCATTAGGTGTCATTAACTTACAAAACAATTATCTCACATACCTATGTGAGTTTAAATAGAGTATCTTAGCTGACACAAAACACTTTCTCCGTAATCTCTTTTATAACTGAACTTTCACAGATCACACCACACTATTAACAGAGTCATTCCTACAATCAGACCGATGGATATGAAGTGTTAGATTTGGGTGCTCCAAAACTTGCTAAACAATAAAGAATCTCTTAATGAGCCTATTTCCGAGTCCGAATCCTGTTTGACTCCCCCGTGTTCTTTTCCAAGCTCTAGTCAATCTTCTTATGAGAATACGTTTAAGAATTTCGGACGCTATACTAGTTGTTGTTACAACAGCTAAGTTTTTCCCTATTCCTTATAAACTGGGCCAACTATCGAAATGTGCTAGTCTGATGGAGTTGTCCAGGACTTCCGTAAAGTGCCTTGATGAGAAGAATACATTCAATAACGTCCTCAAGCGATCAGCTTTGTCTCGTTTTCTATCACAGAAAGAGTTATATATTATCTAACATATGCATGTTTTCAATCTGATTGATGTATTGCCGCCTCTAGCTAAAAGATGGTATTAAACCAGCATGCAAATGGTATGATCGGAAGAGAGAAACAATCCTTTTGCCTTAGATTAAAAGTAGTAATTACTTAATTGTATGAGAAATAACTAAATCTCACCTGACGGTTTAGCACTTTCATATGTAGTTCCCCTGAAAAAGAAGACGAAAATGAAACAGTTGATATAGTGAAACAATGTCAAGAGAAATTATTTTCACATAATTTCTTAAATCATTTCCATTAATAAAGTAATGTAAAAGCTCAATTATTGTAAAAGAAAGTTAACAGTAACACACAACAGCACAAAGTATCAATAAACGAGGTGGATTTTAAGAGTTTATGAAAGTCCAGTATATCTATGATGATGTGTTTTTTCCAGGAATTAGCAAAGCACCAATATGAAGCAAAACTCATCATCATCAACATGACTATCTAAAGAGTTTAGTAAAGATGTTTACTAAAAATAGAGACACGTTTCTGTGTCTAAAAACTCATAATTATCTTCGTCACATGAATGAAAACTCCAGTGATTGTGATCATAAGATTTATCAATCGATTTTTAACTAGCCGATAAAAACACAGAAAACCTTATAAATAGATATGTGTTGATATAAGCTAAATTGTTCTGAGTTTCCAGACAGACGGGGATCAGTTTTCCTTTTTTTCCTTCACGTTCCCCAGTGGAACATAGGGCTTTAAGCTAGTGGCTTGAAGTTTCTGTGGCAGTGTTTACTATATAGGATGGGGTTGCTAGCTTCATGCCCAACCTTTCCTCTTCACCAGCATTATTTCTGGCTTAGTGAGGTAAAGGAGCGCGTCGGCCGGGGATCGAACCCCGGACCATGTGCATGGTCGGCGAGAGTCCTAACTGCTATGCCACCGACGCACACGGGGATCAGTTAACATGACAAAAAAGGAGACAATTAACATCGAATGTAGTTCGGAAAGGTCGATAAATCATAACTCAGTCAGTCGCGTTACACTGGAACTAATCAACTCTTCTGTAGACAGAACCAGAAATTATCAAGGCAATAGGAAAAACTGTTAGTTTAATGAAGACTTTAATTTCAAAAAAAGAAAAAGAAATAATCAAGCTTTTAAATTGATGAGGGGAAATCATATACAGGTAAATATGCTTCAATAGAACAAGACATGACCAACCGATATAATGCTAAATTAATATTGAACTTACTTTTCAGCTAGATCAACAGCTTCTTCACGGAGGAAGCGAGTTTCCGAAACGCCACGAACACATACATAATAAGAAAAAAGAAAAGTACAGATAGAAAAGAAATATCGATTAATCAACCAATGGTAAACTTATAAATCTAATCTTTAAAACAAAATGTGAACAAATAATCACAGAAACCTAAACTGTACATAGCGAGTGTTGTGGGCTGACGTTGATGAAACCAGATAACAATTATTGGGACTTAAGGCCGATTCTTAACAGTTGCTCTATGAAATCAAGAATATCTGATAGATTACTTGGTATAAGTAGTTACATTTATTATTATTATTGTTGATCCCTTAGGTTCCGAGTGGAACATAGGGCTTCTGCTGTCCTCCTCAGCCGGGACCACGATTGCCTATAATCTCTCATCTCCTCCTCGCACGACTTCCTCTATGTCGACCGCAGACGACCCACTTGTCACCTCCCATTCAGGTTTGACTCGAGCAGTGGCTTGGTGAGCGATGTCATTCAACGGTCTCCTCAGCGTGTGCTCAGTCCATCTCCATCTTCTTTCTGCATATTTGTTGAACGGTAGGTTGTTGGTTAGTTTGTTCCCATAGTTTCGTGTTACAAATAGTACGGCAGAATTCAACGAGAAGACTGTTACACACCATGCACCACTCTGATATAAGTATAAAAATTGGGCACTGTGGTAGAGTATAACTCCATTATGGATAAGATTTTATTTTGATAAATCACACAGTGTTCTACAGTAATATTAACTGATGGAGGTGAACCACTTTGTTTCAGTAAGAATTGTCGTTTAAAAATAACACTGTTCATTCATTTTTATAAAGAATGGCAATACACAGGTGATAGAAAATCTACATCAACTACGGATTTCAATCATGGTATATTAATAGTAATTTGAGAAAAACAGAGTGAACATATAGTTTAACGGTAACTGTTCGGAAAATTGTGCACTCTAACGTGTCCTATTATCATCTCTTGTATGTATCTTTCATCAAATACAACTACGAGAACTCCAACATCATCGACGAAGCCAATACCCTATGAGATATCCAACTACACATAAAAAATTCGCTAAATGATTTAAACAACCGAATATTATTGACAGCCAGTATACTTGGCCATGTTTAAGTCAATGATAAATGCAGTAGCAATTTCTGTCCTAACTATTTACACGCACAGTTCTAGTAGAGAATTATAATTATTATTTATTAAAACACAGACTCGCTATCTTATGGACGTCAGCAGGTTATCATTATTATTATTCCCTTGGGTTCCAAGTGAAACACAGGGCTTCAACAACACGTCCTCATTTTGTGTTGTTGTCTACAGCCCTCCTCAGCTGGCCCCACGACTGCTCATAGCTTTCATCTCCACCTTACACAATCTCCTCCATGTCACACTCGGACACATGCCCAACTCGTCGTTTCCCACTCGCGGGCACTGAGTACGATATCACCCAACGGTCTCCTCAGCGTGTGGCCGATGCATATCCATTTTCTTCCACGTATTTGTTGAGCAATAGGTATCTTGATATTATTATTTATTGTTTATTAATAATCATTATTTATCATTATTTATTAATAATCAAATAAAAATAGCATACAAGAAACAAATATGAAAACAAAAAATCATACCATCTATAGATTTAATTGCAGACATTGGACGAATAAAACGCTTCGAAGTGGCTTGTTTTAATGCTATAACAGAAAAGGAAAAAAATACAGAATAACAAAAGACAAAAAGAATTACTGAACTTTTGGCATCCAACAGACAAAAAACAAAAGCATTCTTTTTTAAAAAAAAACAGTAAAAGAAAAGGAATGGCTTTTTTCTTTTCTCTTCTTACAAATGAACTATGAGACAAAAGACACTAGAAAAACACACCACATTATATAAAGAAAAAAGAATAGAGAATGAACACACATACACCTACACATCGAAAGATAAGGGAACAACGAAGCTTCTATAAGAATAAGCACACACACACACACACAAAAACCCACTTAAACCACACTACAACGAGGTGAAATTTTTACAACAATAAAGTACAGTGTGATAATGACTATTTTCGTCTACTGTAAATGGTTTTAAAGAAAAAATACTGATAAAAACACTACATAGAAAAGGAATAAATAATCAAGAATATAATGAAATGAGAAGAAATAGTGAGAGTTAAATCATACGATAAAGGATTGTATACTATATTGAGAACATACATAGGCTTCACTACAATTCTCTGAGTGATTCACAAAATTAGTTTATATAATATGTAATGGAGGCTATGTTGATTCACAGTGCCATCCACGCATTGCCTAAATACATGCATGTAGGCTTTGAAGAGATAAGTGATTTAGTGTGCCTATTTTTATCAAATGGTGAAGAATACGTGATTGCTGATTAACAAAAAAGCATACTTCAGACTAAAATAGATGATGATAAGTAAGCTGCTTTAAATAAAGCCAAAATTAGAATTCATGGGGCATTGAGATGGATCCCAGTGGGTGAATAGTCTACGGGCTTGCCTTTTAACTTGAAGGTACTGTGTTGGAATCCCAGCGGGTGAGTCCCAAGCTAGAAGGAAACAACCATCCAGTATTCCTCGGTTTTCCATGTTTCCTCTAACTGATATAAATATGTGGTCGGTCACACTTAAAACGAAGGAAATCCCTACAAACTAACTCTTGAAAAGCCTAAATTTCACCAGATCAAAATAAGTGAAGTCATTAACACACTTAAACAAATAAGACATGTAAAGTGATATTATACGTAACATAAAATCAGTCCTAAAATAACAGTTCGTATGATTAAGTTCGCGGCAAGAAAGGGGGTAGAGCTATACATCACGGACAGAGAAGTTTAGGAATTTGGATTCAAGATTAAACTGAATGTTAGGCAGTGGAATAAAGTAAAAGGGTGATACGAGAAAATCCATCATGGTCCGTTATTTGTGAATCTGCAGAATGATATTACAAATGGTTGTCAGAAAAGACGTATATATGAAGATAGGTTACTTCTTCTGGACTTGATGATTTCAAATACTCCTGGATTTAAGTACAGTGTTACGCAAACATTGGTAAAAGGATTTCATTATGGGTGCGAGGCTTAAGCATTTTTGTATGTCTAGTAAAAAGAATCTGAATTGAGATTCATCGGTATACTCCAGCTAACTTTTCTACATGAACCGTTAACTAGTTACCAATTTATTCAGAGGAAGGAGAAATCCCATGTGATGTAATCAAGGCCACATGAATCAATGAAGAGATCTCTTTTCGTAATTTCGCTTCAAAGAGGTACAGTAATTTACGGCAAACGTTAGGGGTTATTATTAATTAGTAACGAAATAAATCAGTGTATGTAAAAACTGAAATGAAATAAAGCTTCGGCTGTATGAAGCAGACGAAGGCGAAATCTTTTTGGTCGGCTGGATCGTACTTTATATTATGACTCTGATGATGCTACGTGACCAGAAGTAATAATGTCCTCCAGAAGTGAGCTATTGACTGTTCAGCATTCTCTTATTGACATACATACTGGTAAGTGTTTAAGGGTGCATCTAGATAATGTAGTACTGGTACGATTTCTGTACTTAATTCTACAGGAGCAAGTGAACCTGTAAATGCACACTGAAGTTGCCAACACAACAAATTATCATTGAAATCTTGATGAATAAGAGAATGTGTGGAAAAGGTGAGGAGTAGACATGCAACAAAGAACCCCTAAATAACTGTACAGCTTTGTAGTGCAGTTACGAAAACAAATCTCTTAGCTGACTTATGTGAGGACAAATACTCGCCGAAGACATTGGCTAGCGGTTGCGCTATGTCGTGAATTGGCAGAAGTTAGAATTCATGGGCTGGCCATTGGATCGAGTCCCAGTGGCTTAATGGCATACAAGCTCGCTGGCCTTGTAACCAGAAGGTCCTGGGTTCGAACCGTGACGGTGGGTGCATACTGATGAAGAGTCCCAAACTAGGATGAAACAGCTGTCCAGTACTCCCAGGTTTTCCAATGGTTCTCTAACCGATGTCAGCTCATGATGAAATCCTGTAACCAATCAATCAAATCCCTACAAAACAAATACTTGAATATTATGTGATCTTAGTTAATAATTACTAATAATATCTCGCAAGTCATTACTACTGAGTCGAAGGTATTAGGAAACTATCAAAAACCTAATTGATTAAGCCATACATTTGAAGTAGATATGATTCTGACAACATTCAACATCAATGAGTGAGAATAATGAACTAATTTTTAATATGAGCAATAACAACTGATAAGATAACAACTAGGTACGTATTCTTAAATCATGCTACTTAATATAAATGAATCTGAAATTTCATGCATAATCTGATCGCTACATATCAAAGTGATTATATATATATATATATATATATATATATATATATAAAGTATGAAAGAAGCATATCGTGAAATGTAAGTTAATAAACCAAAGATGGAACGTTTAAGAAGTTTCTGAACCAAGATTCGTAGTACAGGTAAACAAACTGGAGTTCTTTCAATGCTATGAATTAAGAGTTTGAGACTCTTGGTGAAATGGTGCAAAATTTATTAAGTGCACAAACGCATTCGTGCCTTTCATAATATTAGAAATTTGAATAAACATTAATTAAACAAGTTTTCCTTTCACACATGTTTCTCCACTTTTAAATCTCCATGTGAGCTGACTTCCTGTTTGACAAGTTTAACCGATGCACATTCACACTTAAAAATTTATGTTGATCTGTCAGTTTAGTCAGACAAGAAGTAGACTTTGGTGACAATTAAGTCGTCGGATCGCTGATTTACTTCTCTGCATTAACTACTTCTCTCTAGTACGCCATTTATCAGTTAGCTGTTATCCATACAATCTAACAGAGCACAATTACTGAATAATAATTATACATTTGTTTATCGATACGACTAGACGAACTTAATACCAGTGAGAATCAGAATGATTAATCAGATTTATTCATCACAGAGATACGGTGAAGAAGAAATTATTCTAATGAAGGATAAAAATTATGCTACGTTATATAAATAATATGAAAGGTATCACTGGCTTATTGAAACAAACTAGAATTCAACTATGCATAACAATACACAAATCAAACTCCAACACCACACACAAACGTCATTATATGTGGATAAATAATTGTGCGTCGAAGAATCAAGGAAAAGGTACACAAAATCAGTCAACTTTTTACAGGATGACATCTCATCGTAAAAGATAATTTAAAAAAGGGGTGAAAACTGTGATAGATAGAGAAAGTGATCATAGTTGGTGGTACATGAGTAAATAAAATAAGTAAGTAACGAAGTTAATATTGATGGGAAAACAAGTCAATGAATCACTTGTGTGCCGTCACCTGAATCAATTGCTAATATACCAGTGCATGTCTAATATTTCTCAATAAATTTGTAGAAAGTGAACAAGAATACAATCTCCACAGAGTTGGTGGTCCAGCGGTGGAATGTTCACCAACCATCCATGTGGGAGAGGGTTCGATTTCCGGGTCACGCACCCTTAAACCCCCCCACCTAGCTATTAGCAAGCCCGGAACATACAGGGAAGGTTATATATGAGAATATTAACCCCATCAAAGCTGAAGCTTGAAACTCCATGTTCCACTCGGAATGCAAAGAAACAAATTTTAAAAAAAAACAATCCCTACAAACAATATTACAAATCGTTTCTAGGCATACAGTCGTAGTATGACGTAACTAGACTAGGAGAAAAGGCTTTTTCAGGACATTACTATTGATATGTACATTTGAAACATAAATTATAATGCTATCTGCATGAATATCTCCTTCTTCTTACTTGAGGGAATTTGTACTCAAACGAAGTCTTAAGGAAGCCAGTGACTTAGATTTTCTGCGCTGGCATTTTGTGCGCTAAAAATTTCACTACGCTGTCACCACGCATGAATGAATAAATTCATGGAACCAGTTGAGTTACTGATGTATGGTCAAGTGATACATATTACCAATGTTACACCTTCAATGGTAAAGGGAAATGACTAATGAAAGCTACATTTTGTAATCGACTTAATACCATTTACTCTAATATGATAGTGTGTGCATATAAACTATTAAAGCCAAAATAACGCTTCTCAACACCTTATCCAACTATCTATAAAGCATAGGAGTATGACAATTATATGCATATCACAAAACAATGACAGCTGTACAACAATGCGCACAATCTACATTATACTATACACTTTAAACATACAAAAAACCAAGAAATTACACATTTAGATCATAAAAACTTTTCGATACAAAAACATCCATGATTTCTAAACATCAATATGACGGACAAAGGGAAATCTAACATGTATATTGAATGAGATTGAAAAAAGTGCTAAGAAGAAATACAAAAGAGGATGATGAAGAGGATGCTGGTGCTACATCTATTATTAATCATTTGATGCGTAATACCAACTTACCGACAGCTGCTTGAGCTATATAATAATCACATCAGTAAAGAAAAATAACTCACTCATTAATAATAATAATGATGATAATGTATCAAATAGAAATAATTTTCTTCTAAAACCGAATTGCTACAAGTTTAATGATATAACAAGAATTTATAGACAGATGCATAATAACTAGTGGTAGTAGTAGAGTAGTAGTAGTAGTAGACGTTCATGTAGTTATACACACAATCTGTGATATTAACCATTAGTAC